AATCTTTGTTGTGTTTTAGGTTGTTAGACCCGGTAACTCCAAACACGCACTTTTACAACGCACTGTTATACCTACCATTCTATAATTAAAATAAATCATCCTAGCTAAATATGTATAAAAAAAAAAATAATGAATCAAAAATTTATTTTTACATTCATTTTAATCTGCTCTTTCTGTAACCAATGCTATCTCACTCGAGTAAAGACCAATTACCAATACTATCGCACTCGAGAAAAGATCCGTTACCAATACTATTTCACTCGAGAAATTATCCTTTACCAATGCTATCTCACTCGAGAAATATCTATTACAGCATCCCTGGTATAGTACCAGAGTATTTAAATGTTTCGGGATTTTTATTCCGCAAAATACGGCATTCTTAACGGATTTGGATGAGAAAAGATCCATTATCTTTGTTAAATGTTCTTATTTAATTCAACTTTTTCTGTTCCTAACGTAATAATTTCATTTGTCCCGCCAGTTACTGGACAAAAAAATGCTATCTTACTGTTTTCGAAAAACTCTAAATAATGATATTACCAATAATGGAATTATTTTACACTCACTTGTATCTTTCAGTCCTATACCTCTGACTACAGCTGGTGATCCATTTAATGTAGCTAACGTACCAGATTTCTTCAAAGATGACACTATCGATTTAGAAGTTTATATTGAGAATGCACAAAGACCAAATAACTAATGTCATAGGTTGTGTGACAGCAACAGTCTCGTTGCAGGTAAAATAACTTTTTAAGAAATACAGAAATAATACTGTACCGTTAATAAATTGTAGCATCATCAAAAATACTTTTGATATGCAAAACTTTCATCATTCAGTAATATTTATTAAAGAAACTTAATTACAATTTGCAGAAAAGCATAATGAGGATTTTAATGAGAGATTTTAGAATTAAAAAAAAAAATACATTCGAAATGTGAGATCTTAAAAAACATAATTTTGTGTATTAAAATTTTGAAATCTGAAAATGAAAGGGATAGTTTGAGTAATTTCAAATTTAATGAAAAATGAAATAAAGTTAATACATCGCACATTGTAAAATGAATACGACATCTGTTTCTGTCAAAATTAGATCCCGCACCTCATTACAAAAAATTGGCAGATTTGACAATTCTGATGAAAGTTAGTGTATCAAGTCGAAATATTATTACTTAGAAATGTACCTTATCATTTTTTTATATATTACTCTAATTAGGGTAGCTACGCAGCGTGTGATGCGGTGCAGGATCAGTACGATCACGTACGCTGTTGTGAAAAGCTCAAGGAAATCAATTTACCTATTCTCTTTTTTTTTTGTTTTCTTCTATTATTAGGTTCTAGTTTTTTTTTTTTCTAGAAACGCTTTAGTAGAATTAGACCCCATAACTTCTCCAACGCAACTTATACTTTCTCAACATGCAAATTCGATTATTCAATT